TCCCAAAATGCTGGGATTATAGGTGTGAGCCACCACACCTGGCTGGGTTTTCACATTTTTGGACAGTTGAAAACAACCCAAAAAAGAATAATATTTTGAGAAGGGGGTGGGGGTTAAAAAAGAATATTTTGTGACAAAAGAAAATTATGTTAAATTCAAATTTCAGTGTCCACAGATAAAGTGTGATGGAACAGAGTCCTGCCCATTCATTTGCATTCTGTCCATGGTTGCTTTGCCTGACACTGGCATAGTTGAGTCAATGTGACTGAGGGCCCATAAAGCCTAAAATATTTATCTGGTCCTTTACATAAAAAGTTTACAGATTGTTGTTCTAGATTAAAGAATAAAACAATCTTTCACATGCTTCTAGAAATGGAAAGTTATTATTTAATATTGAATGACCATTCCATGAGGACTTTTAAAAAAATGAAATGGCTTGTGAAGAACTCAAAATTATATTTCAAATGTTCTTGCTGCTTCTTAGAGAATATTTTAAAAAGCAGTGGCCTCCATAAACAAAAATAAAGCCTTCATCCCATCTGTCTGGGTCTCCCCTGCGCACCGTGTTGGTGAGGCCTTCAGAATGAAAATGTATCACAACTCACTTTCCCTTTTATTTCTCATTTAATTTTTTAATATTTGAAGATGAGGTCTTGCTCTGTTGCCCAAGCTGGTCTTGAACTCCTGGGCTCAAGCCTCCCAAAGTGCTGGAATTAACAGGCATGAGTCACTGCATCTGCCCCTGCTTTCCTTTATTTGACAGAAAGTTCCAAGTACTGGATGTTAACAAGAAGCCCTAGAATTGCTTTTAATTTTTACTAAGACTGAATCAAAGCTTTCTGTTTTTGTTTTGATAGTGGGAAGAACACACTTGTACTTTTTTTTTTAATCACTGATAAAACAAGGATACAAGGAAACTGCCTTCTGAAAGTTTTGTTCTTGGTTTATGAGAGACAATAAACCCACATAAAAAGTTAGGTAATAAGGTCGGGTGCGGTGGCTCATGCCTATAATCCCAGCACTTTGGGAGGCTGAGGCGGGTGGATCACGAGGTCAGGAGATCGAGACCATCCTGGTTAACAAGGTGAAACCCCGTCTCTACTAAAAATACAAAAATTAGCTGGGCATGGTGGTACGCGCCTGTAGTCCCAGCTACTCTGGAGGCTAAGGCAGGAGAATTGCCTGAACCCAGGAGGCGGAGGTTGCGGTGAGCCTAGATCGTGCCATTGCACTCCAGTCTGGGTAACAACAGCGAAACTCCATCTCAAAAAAAAAAAAAAAAAAAGTTAGGTAATAAGAGGACGGTAAACAACTGTGTTTTCAACCTTTTGACAATGATCCACAGTAAAATACATGTTTTATACTATGATTCAGTAGACACATATATACACATACACTAAAATAAAAATAATGGGGCTGGGTGAGGTGGCTCATACCTGTAATCCCAGCACTTTGGGAGAACAAGGCAGGTAGATTGCTTGAGCCCAAGAGTTTGTGACCAGTCTGGGCAACATAGCAAGACCCCATCTTTACAAAAAATAAAAAAATTAGCCAGGTGCAGTAGCATGCCTGTGGCTCTAACAGCTGGGGAGACTGAGGTGGGAGGATCACTTGAGCTCAGGAAATTGAGGCTGCAAGGAGCCATGATCATGTCACTGCATTCCAGCCTGGGCAAGAGCAAGAACCTGTTTCCAAAAAAAAAGAAAGAAAGGCAATTATTTTTTTGAGATGGAGTCTCTCTCTGTTGCTCAGGATGGACTGCAATGGTGTGAGCTCGGCTCACTGCAAACTCCACCTCCTGGGTTCAACTGATTCTCCTGACTCAGTCTCCCAGGTAGCTGGGACTACAGGCATGTGTCACCATGCGTGGCTAATTTTTGTATTTGTAGTAGAGTTGGGGTTTCACCATGTTGGCCAGGCTGATTCTGAATTCCTGACCTCAGGTGATCTGCCTGCCTTGGCCTCCCAAAGTGCTGGAATTACAGGCATGAGCCACTGCGCCCTGCCAGAAAAGACAAATGTATTAGAGCAGAAAGTGGATTAGTGGTTTCCTGGAGCTAGGAGTGGTATCAGAGATTAAGGGTAAGTAGGCCTAAGAGGTCCTATTGGGGTGATGAAAAAGCTTCATTATAGTAAAAATTTACTGAAAATAATCGAATTACACACACAAAAGCAGTGAATTTTATGGCATGTAAATTACACAGCAATAAAACTGTCTTTTAAAAAAAGAGAGAAAGAGGCCGGACGTGGTGGCTCATGCCTGTAATTCAAGCACTTTGGAGGCCAAGGCGGGCGGATCACCTGAGGTCGGGAGTTCAAGACCAGCCTGACCAATATGGTAAAACTCCGTCTTTTAAAAAAAAAGAGAGAGAGAGAGAAAGGGCTGGGCATGGTGGCTCATGCCTGTAATCCCAGCACTTTGGGAGGCCGAGGTGGATGGATCACTTGAGGTGAGGAGTTCGAGACCAGCCTGGCCAACATGGTGAAACCCCATCTTTTCAAAAGAAAAAAGGAGAAAGGAAGAAAAGAAGAAGCAACAGGGCCGGGTGCGGTGGCTCACACCTGTAATCCTAGCACTTTGGGAGGCTGAGGTGGGTGGATCACCTGAGGTCAGGCGTTCAAGACCAGCCTGGCCATCATGGTGAAATCCCATCTTTATTAAAAAAAAAAAAAAAGGAAGAAGAAAGAAGAAGAAGAAGAAGAAGAAGAAGAAGAAGAAGAAGAAGAAGAAGAAGAAGAGGAGGAGGAGGAGGAGGGAGGAGGAGGAGGAGGAGGAGGAGGAGGAGGAAGAAGAAGAGAAGAAGAAGAAGAAGAAGAAGAAGAAGAAGAAGGAGAAGAGGAAAAAGAAGCAACAGAAAAGAGGCTGGGCACTGTGGCTCACACCTGTGATCTCAACACTATGGGAGGCAAAGGCGGACGGATCACCTGAGGTCAAGAGTTTGAGACCAGTCTGGCTAACATGGCAAAATTCTGTCTCTACTAAAAGTGCAGAAGTTAGCTGAGTGCCATGGTGCAGACTGTAGTCCCAGCTACTTGGGAGGTTGAGACAGGAGAATCACTTGAACCAGGGAAGCAGAGGTTGCAATGAGCTGAGATCTCGCCATTGCACTCCAGCCTGGGTGACAGAGCAAGACTCTGTCTCAAAAAAAACAAAAGAGAAAAAGAGGAAGAGGAAGAATAACTACCCAAACCAATCAGTCTGCAGGTCTTGGGATTCAGCTTTTAAAAATTATGCACATTTTGACTGGGCACGGTGGCTCACGCCTGTAATCCCAGCACTTTGGAAGGCTGCAGCAGGTGGATCACCTGAGGTCAGGAGTTTGAGACCAGCCTGGCTGGTGGCCAGCCTGGTGAAACCCCGAATCTACCAAAAATACAAAAATTAACTGGGCCTGGTGACCGGCGCCTGTAATTCCAACTACTTAGGAGGCTGAAGCAGGAGAATCACTTGAATCCTGGAGGCGGAGGTTGCAGTGAGCCAAGATCGTGCCATTATACTGCAGCCTGGGTGACAGAGTGAGACTCATCTCAAAAAAAAAAGAAAAAAAAATTATTACATTTGCCCAACTCCAGTCTTCCAGTTGCTCCCACTCTCCACAATTTCTCAGCGATTACTGACAGCATTTCCTCAGTCACATGTGCCAATTATTTCAGTCCTCTGGAATGTCATTCATCAGGTTTAGAAACTTTTGACAAGGTGGATATGGTAACAAAGTCCAAGCGCAGGCTGTTTTCCCACCCTGAATCTCTTCCCTTCGCATACCCTTCTCCTCTGATTACTTCTCCTTTAGCTCGTGTTTACATTTTGTGATTTCTTTGACATGAGCTCCTAGGCAACAGAAAGAGCTGGGGTGGTTGTGTGAGCAGTGAACTTCGCGTTGGGAAATTGTGGGCTTCTGAGGTGGCCCTCCCCCCAGTTCCCTGCGTGACTGTGGTAGATGTTTGTAGCTCAGTCTACCTAGCAACCCCTCCTCTTCCTTCTGCAAACAGCACCGGGTTTCCTGGGGGGTTTCCTTGGCCCCCTTGGTCTTTGTGGTTCTGGTGAGGCAGACTGCCACCCATGGGATAAGCAGGTGACTCCGGTCAGCCCAGACACCAACAGAGCTCAGCTCTGGCTGTGGTGATTGGCTGAAAGAGGGACATGTGACCTGACAGAGTCCAATGAGAGTCAGTTCTGAGGTGTTTTCTAGAAATGCTGGAAAGAGGTGTTCTTTTTCTACCATGATTGCTTTGTGGTGGGATGTAAGGTTGACTGTTGTGGGCCTCGGTAGGTTACCATAGGGGAAATCCTAAGAATGAATCTTTCACCTTTCCTATAGTCCCTGAAAAAAATAAAAATGGGTGGCTGGGCGTGGTGGCTCACGCCTATAGTCCCAGCACTTTGGGAGGCCAGGGTGGGCAGATCACTTGAGGTCAGGAGATCGAGACCAGCTTGGCCAACATGGTGAATCCCCGTCTCTAAATTTTTTTTTTTTTTTTTTTTGTAGAAACTAGGTCTCACTATGCTGCCCGGGCTGTTCTCGAACTCCTGGACTCAAGTGGTCCACTGTTCTCAGCCTTCCAAAGGGCTGGAATGATAGGCATGAGCCACTGTGCTTGGCCAGATTCCAATTTTTATTCTAGCATATTGCCACCTAGAATAAAGGTTAAGTTTCCCAGTTTCCCTTGCAGTCGGGTCCAGGTGAAAAAGTAGTGTCACTTTATTGCTTAGTCATGTCTAAGTTCTGGCCAGTGAGATACAAGTTGGCATGTGTAGAGGCTTCCAGAAAGGAAAGGGTGCACCCTTCTCTCCCTTCCCGCTTCCTGCTGCCAGGAATGCAGATTTGATAGATGGCATTCCAGCCACGATCTTGAGTCATGTGGATTTTAGGATGGAGTGCTAGATGAAGCAGCCAGACAGAAACAAGGTTTCTGGGGAAAGAGGACCCACCATACTAGCCCTGGAGATCTAATCTACAGACTTCTTTTACATGAGAAGAGAAGTAAACTTTTAAAAAATATATTATATGGAACGCTTCACGGATTTGCGTGCCATCCTTGTGCAGGGGCCATGCTAATCTTCTCTGTATCTTTCCAATTGTAGTATACGTGCTGAAGCGAGCACAGAAGTAAACTTTTATCTCATTGAAGTCACCAATTTGTCCTGCTTTTACTATATCCAAAGTCGAGTCTGATTGACAGTGTCACGTTCCTCATGCCCTGGCCACATTATTTTTTCATTGAGCCAAGCTGATAGGTGAAAAAGTAGTGTCACTTCACAGTTCTAAATTCGTTTCTGATCAGAGTTGATCTTATTTTTTTATTTTTTATTTTTTGAGAAGGAGTTTCGCTCTTGTTACCCAGGCTGGAGTGCAATGGCGCGATCTCGGCTCACCGCAACCTCCGCCCCCTGGGTTCAGGCAATTCTCCTGCCCTCAGCCTCCCGAGTAGCTGGGATTACAGGCACGCGCCACCGTGCCCAGCTAATTTTTTGTAATTTTTAGTAGAGACGGGGTTTCACTATGTTGACCAGGATGGTCTCGATCTGTTGACCTGGTGATCCACCCGCCTCGGCCTCCCAAAGTGCTGGGATTACAGGCTTGAGCCACCGCGCCTGGCCGAGTTGATCTTATTTTTATAGGTTAGAGCCATTTGTGGGGTTTTCAGTCTGTGAACAAACCTTCCTTCCTTCCTTCCTTCCTTCCTTCCTTCCTTCCTTCCTTCCTTCCTTCCTTCCTCCCTCCCTCCCTCCCTCCCTCCCTCCCTCCCTCCTCCTTCCTTCCTTCCTTCCTTCCTTCCTTCCTTCCTTCTCTTTCTCTTTTCTTTTTTGAGATGAAGTTTTGCTCTTGTCACCAAGGCTGCGGTGCAATGGTGCAATCTCAGTTTACTGCAACTTCTGTCTCCCAGGTTCAAGCAATTCTCCTGCCTCAGCCTCCCAAGTGGCAGGGATTACAGGTGCCAGGTACCACGCTGGCTAATTTTTTTAGACGAAGTCTTGCTCTTGTCTCCCAGGCTGGAGGGCAATGTTGTGATCTTGGCTCACTGTAATCTTTGCCTCCCAGGTTCAAGCAATTCTCCTGCCTTAGCCTCCTGAGTAGCTGGGATTACCGGCACCCACAGGCACCCACAACCACACCTGGCTAATTTTTGAATTTTTAGTAGAAATAGGGGTTTCACCATGTTGGCACTTGGCCTCCCAAAGTGCTGGGATTACAGGCGTGAGCCACTGCACCTGGCCTCTTTATTTTCTTGATTTCTCTCTTCCTCCCTCCCTCCCTTCCTTCCTCCCTTCCTTTTTCCCTTCCTTCCTTCCTTCCTTTTCTCTCCATCTCTCTCCTCTTTCTTCCTTTTGTTTCAGACAGGGTCTTTCACCCAGGCTGCAGTGCAGTGGTGCAATTATAACTCACTGTAGCCTCCACCTCCCTAGGCTTAAGCAATCCTCCCATTTCAGCCTCCCAAGTAGCTGAGACTGTAGGTGTGTACCACCATGCCCAGCTAACTTTTTGTAGGAATGGTGTCTTTCCATGTTGCCCAGGCTGGTCTCAAACTCCTGGGCTCAAGTAATCTGCTGTCCTCAGCTTCCCAAAGTGCTGAGATTACAGGCATGAGCCACCGTGCCTGGCCTAGAAAGGTTAATTTTTTTTTTTTTTTAAGACAGGATCTCTCCCCCTCTGTCACCCAGGCGGGAGTGCAGTGGTGCAATCTCAGCTCACTCAGCCTCCGCCTCCCAAGTTCCAGCAATTCTCCTGCCTCAGCCTCCTGAATAGCTGGGATTACAGGTGCATGCCACCACACCTGGCTAATTTTTGTGTTTTTAGTAGAGACAGGGTTTCACAATGTTAGCCAGGCTGGTCTTGAACTCCTGACCTCAGATGATCCTGCCATGTGAACCACCGTGCCCGGCCAGCTAAAATTTTTTCAAATGACAACACCAAATGCTGGTGACGATGTTGAGAAAAAGGAGCTCTCATTCATTGCTGCAGAAATACAAAATGGCACAGCTACCTTGGAAGACAGTCTGGCAGTTTCTTCTAAAACTACAATGCTCTTACTACATGATCCAGCAATTGCACTCCTTGGTATTTAACCCAAATGAATCAAAAACTTGTATCCACACAAACGCTTGCACACAAATGTTTATAACAGCTTTATTTGTAATTGCCAAACTTGGAAGTGACCAAGCTGTTCTTCAGTAAGTGAATGGATAAACTTAGTATATCCAGACAAGAGAATATTATTCATTGCTGGCCGTGCACAGTGGCTCACGTCTGTAATCCCAGCAGTTTAGGAGGCCGAGGTGGGCAGTTCACCTGAGGCCAGGAGTTTGTGATCAGCCTGGCCAACATGGCAAAATCCCATCTCTACTAAAAATACATACACACACACAAATTAGCCAAGCATGGTGGCACACACCTGTAATCCCAGCTACTCAGGAGGCTGAGGTGGGAGAAAGACTTGAACCCAGGAGGCAGAGGTTGCAGTAAGTCAAGATTGTACCACTGAACTCCAGCCTGGGTGACAGTTCGAGACTCCATCTCAAAAAAAAAAAAATATTATTCAGTGTTAAAATGAAGTAAGTTGCCAAGACATAAAGAGATGTAGAGAAACCTTGTCTTAGTCCATTTTGTTATTATAACAAAATACTAGAGACTAGGTAATTTATAAAGGAGAGAAGTTTATTTAGCTCAAGATTCTGGAGGCTGGGTTGTCTAAGATCTGTAGGATGTGGGATTTAGCTTTTAAAAATTGAGCTTCTGGCTGGGCTCAGTAGCTTACATTTATAATCCCAGCACTCCAGGAGGCTGAGATAGGAGGATTACTTAAGGCCAGAAATTTGAGACCAGCCTGGACAAGAAAGGGAGACCCCTTCTCTACAAAAATAAAAATAAAATGGCTGAGCACAGTGACTCACGCCTGTAATCCCAGCAGTTTGGAAGGCCGAGACAGGTGGATCATTTGAGGTCAGGATTTTGAGACCAGGTTGGCCAACATGGTGAAACTCCACATCTACTAAAAATACAAATAAATTAGCTGGGTGTGGTGGTACATGCCTGTAATCCCAGCTACTGGGGAGGCTGAGGCAGGAGAATCACTTGAACCTGGGAGACACATGTTGCAGTCAGCCGAGATCACACCACTGCACTCCAGCCTGGGTGATGGAGTGAGACTCGATTTCAAACATAAGTAAACAAAATAAATAAAAATAAAAATTAGGTGGACATGGTGGTTTGTCCAGTAGGTGGACATACTGGGGAGGCTGAGGAGGGAGGATGGCTTGAGCCCAAGAGTTTGAAGCTGCTGTGAGCTATGACTGTGCCACTGCATTCCAGCCTGGGTGACAGAGTAAAAAACTAACAGGCTGGCTGGGCGTGGTGGCTCACGCCTGTAATCCAAGCACTTTGGAGGCCAAGGCGGGCGGATCACCTGAGGTAGGGAGTTCAAGACCGGCCTGACCAACAAGGTGAAACTCCATCTATTTAAAAAAAAAACAACAACAACAGGCTGAGCATGGTGGCTTATGCCTTTAATCCTAAAACTGTGGGAGGCCAAGGGGCGAGGATTGCTTGAACCCAGCAGTTCAAGACCAGCCTGGGCAACACAGTGAGACCCCATCACTACCAAAAAATTTAAAAATCAGCTGGACATTGTGGTGCACGCCTGTAGTCCCAGCTACTCAGGAAGCTGAGGTGAGAGGATTGCTTGAGCCCAGGAGGTCAAGGCTACAGTGAGCCGGGATCATGCCGCTGCATTCCAGCCCAGGCAACAGAGTGAGACCCCGTCTCAAAAACAAACAAATGGGCTGGGCGTGGTAGCTCACACTTGTAATCCCAGCACTTCACAAGGCCGAGGCAGGCAGATCACATGAGGTCAGGAGTTTGAGATCATCCTGGCCAACATGGGGAAACACCATCTCTACTAAAAATACAAAGATTAGCTGAGTGTAGTGGTGTATGCCTGTAATCCCAGCTACTTGGGAGGCTAGGGCAGGAGAATCGCTTGAACCCAGGAGGCGGAGGTTGCAGTGAGAGAGATCCAGGAGCTGCACTCCAGCCTGGCAACAGAGTGAGACTCCAACTCAAAAACAAACAAACAAACAAACAAATAAACAAATGAACAATGTGATACAGAAGAGGAAGCAGACCTGCAAAGTGACCAACATAACAAGCAGTCTTGCTTTATAACAACCTACTTTGGAGCTAACGAGTCCAATCCCATGGGATCAAGAACTCAAGGAAATGAGAAAGACCTTAATCCATCCTAATGACCTAATCACCCCTTAAAGGCACCGCTTACCAACACTACCTCACTGCGACAAAGTCACGACATCAATTTTGGTGGGGACAAACTGTAGTTAAGCCATAGCAAACCTAAAATGCTTATTATCAAATGAAGCCAACCTGAAAAGGCTGCATACTGTATGATTCCAATTACATGACAGTCTGGAAAAGGCAAAATTATGGAGTCGGTCAAAATATCAGCAGTTTCCAGGGGTTAGGGAGAAGGAGATGAGCCGGGTGAGGTGGCCTGTAATCCCAGCGCTTTGGAGGCTGAGGCGGGAAGTTCACAAGGTCAGGAGTTTGAGACTAGCCTGGCCAACATGGTGAAACCCCGTCTCTAATAAAAATACAAAAATAAGCCCAGCATGGTGGTGCGTGCCTGTAGTCCCAGCTACTTGGGAGGCTGAGGCAGGAGAATTGCTTGAACCTGGGAGACAGAGTTTTCAGTGAGCTGAGATCGCACCAGTGCACTCCAGCCTGAGCAACAGAGTGAGACTCTACCTCAAAAAAAAAAAAAAAAGGAAGGAGGAAATGAAAAGGTGGTATACAGAGGATTTTTAGGGCAATGAAAGCATTCTGTCTGATACCGTAATGTGCTTACCTTTTACTGTACATTTGTCAAAACCCACAGAATTGCATAACACCAAGAGTGAACCCTAATGTAAACTACGGACGTTGATTCTTAATGAGGTGTTGTGGGGTTCATCAACTGTAACAATATGCCACTCTGGTGCAGGATGCTGATAGTCAGGGAGGCTGTGCATGTGAAGAGACAGGGTATCTGGGAGCTCTCCATATTATTTATTTATTTATTTGAGACAGAGTCTCGCTCTATTGCCCAGGCTGG